TGGCCATTGTTGTGCAGGTGGTGGCGGTTGTCTTCTCCCTCAGACCGAACTGGAGGAAACCCTAAATTCACCCTCCAATCACCTCTGGATTTGTGGTCGGCGACGAGAAAGGGGTTGGCGGTTAAAGACGACAACGAGAAACAGGTAGAAGGAAAGTCGGGAGGTAGAGGAGTCGTAGTGGCGGTGGTCGTCGTCGGATTCGGGCCGGATTACCTCTGGCTGCTTCTTTGCCGACGACAGAAGAAGATTAGGGATGGGTTGAAGAGATTGAAGTCAATGCGGCGGTTAATTTTTAGTGCTGCTGCGGTGGATCGACGTTTTGGTGATGGGTTTGAAATTTTGATAATCAGATATGGATTTGAAAGATGATACAGAGAAGCCAGAGAGGAAGAGGAAACAAGGGGAGAGCATCTCATTGCCACCGTTCGACTCCCCTTTTCATTTTTTTTGTTTATTGTTTTTATTTTATTTTAATTATGAAATCATGTGGACGAGTCTAGTCATGAGCGAATGCTGAGTCATTGACAGAAAAAATGGTTGACTGTTAATTCTGACGGTCAAATCGTCTCATAAGCCAAATTTATCCAATAGTTTGAAAAGTAGGCCATAAATGTTTTATTGGAAAATTCGGGCCAAAACTGTCACTAACGCCAAACTTCGGGGCAAATTAGGGTATTAACCCTAAGAAAAAAGAAGGAGAAGTTGTAGCTTATGTAAACTACCATAAAAGTAACTAACCTAAGGGAAAGCTGTAAACTGCTTCCCTTTTAACCCAAGACCTTTGGGTGATAAAATGGTTCATTTTCCGCTGGGAAACAAGAAACTTTATGTCAATAGTTTGCACGGTTTGTATTTTATATAATAATTGTAGTTTGTACACACTATCACAACTCATTTATACGTGACTTTCGAGATTCTCTGGGGGGGACCCACCCGAGATATGTTGTAGCTCCGCCCCTGTACCAATTTACACCTATGCAAGCAACCCTCCACCCAAACTCTCAAATATGTCTATGAGTTAGAAATCTGAATGTCACCCCTCTTTCACTCCCCTTTGCAGTTGACAGAGAGAATCTCACCCTCTCGCAGTATTTGTGTTATTTGAAGTTTGTGAATGATGATAGTCTTATGGTGCTTGTGTTTGATGTCTTGTTAGTTGATATTCGTTAATTGGACGACGACTTTCGATTATTTATAATATTATGTGTTGGTATATGGATTTATAAATTCAACGATTGATGTTTTATTGTATTGATATTTTATTATATTTTCTAACTTTTATTTTATATTAACAATGTAGAATATAGTTAAATTAGTTTGATTTATTGGTATGATTATATTTTATTAGATTATATAAAATTTCAAAATAAAAATTATTATATTTTATTTTTTAACTTAGTAATTAACCGAAACCAAACAGTATTGCTTGATTGTATTTTCCAAAAGTTGCGGGTTGGTGCCCGCAAAATTGCTTGGTTTAATTATTTCTCAAGAAACAAAGTGTAAATCTCCTAACCAAAATTATCAAAAAAAAAAAAAAAATCTCCTAACCAAATTAGAACACATCGTTCGGCCAAAAAAAGAAAAGAATTAGAACACATCGAACGTAGACGGGAAAAAGGTTAAAGAGAGCGTTGGAAAGGAACCGGAGATTAAAATCCAAACGATGCCCGAGTAAGAGGAGAAGAAGAAGAAGAGGAAAGCAACAATGGCGGCGGCAGAATGGCTGGAGAAGATGAAACCAGTAATCGCGGTGGTGATGCTTCAAGTAGGTTCGGCAGGGATGGACGTGATTTCAAAGGTAGCTCTGAACGAAGGGATGAGCAATTACGTGTTCGTCGTTTATCGCCACGCCGTCGCAACCCTCCTCATTTCCCCTTTCGCTCTCCTCCTCGACAGGTCGGTGGTCTGGTTCCCCTCTTCTTTCTCCGCACCTTCTCTTCTCGTCGCTAAAGACCAAAATTAAACCGTCGCTAAAGACCAACGTTTGTTTGATTGTGCTGTGAGGAACAGGGGATCCAGGCCAGAGATGACTCGCTCCATCTTCACCAAGATATCAGCCCTCGGCTTGCTCGAGTAATTAATTTCTAGGTTTTGGCCAAAAATTCCCTTGTCGTGATGTACACTGGTGCTTTGTTTTATATTGTTTTTTTTGTTGTTACTTACTTGTAGGCCAGTGATAAACCAAAACTTGTATTTCCTGGGAATGAAGTACACCACAGCAACATTTGCGGCCGCCATTGTCAACATTCTCCCTGCTCTCACCTTCCTCATGGCTTTCATCATCGGGTAAATTGTTTCAACAATGTCCGTCTGCTCTTTCGTTCATTATACGTTAGCAGCTAGTTTACTTGAACAAATAGTAATACCAAGGTTTAAGAAGACGTTATTTCATTCATCATTATCCAAATAGGTTCATCGAGCAACCACTTCATCTTCATCATCCTCAAAAGCAATATCCTCCTCATCCTTGTGCAGTGTTCTTCCTCCTCCTCATACTCGAATTCGTCATCATGGAGCTCTCTCACTCTTGCACTCCTATGTAACTCAAGCTACACACTAATTACCATTGAATCTGTAACAACACTCGATGATGCACCATCTCCTTCTTTATTCCCATCCCTAAACACTTACATAGTATGACCATCCCCTCCATCCAGTGGGAAGTCTTGTGCTTCAGTTGCATCGGTAATCAGGAGAACATAAACCTCGGGAGCGGATTAATCGCGACTAGCTCCTCCTAGACATAATGAACACCTAATTCTCTGTCTAGAGCCAACGCAAGCCAGTTTGTCACTGCCTAGAGCCTAGGCGCCTAGCTGTATGCGGAGTTACGCATTCTTGAACCTCGAGTAATACTAATAACAATAGAGTAGAGCTGCAGGTTAGAGAAAGTGAGAATGAAGTCAATCCACAGCAAGGCAAAAGTGTTGGGAACAATAGCAACAGTGGCAGGAGCGATGGTGATGACCCTGATCAAAGGCTCCGCCTTTGAGCAAGACGTTGCTGCTGGTGGTGGTGGCAGTGCACCAGTGGCAGAGTCCCATAGCTTCATGAAGGGTGGTTTGATGATGACAGTGGGTTGCTTCAGCTGGGCAGGCTTTGTGATCCTCCAAGTCAGTACCTAGCTAACTTACTCGCTCGATCCTTAATTCTTTATACTAACAGTTATTTTTGTGATCATAAAATTGAGTGATGATCATGTGGGTGCAGGCGATCACATTGAAGGAATATCCAGCGGATCTATCTCTAACGGCACTGATCTGCCTGGCGGGCACGATTGAAGGTGGGATTGTGGCGCTTGTGGTGGAATGGGGGAGGCCAGAAGCTTGGGCTCTCGGCTGGGATACCAAGTTGTTAGCTGCTGTTTATAGTGTAAGTAGTGCTACTCCTTTTTTCCCACTTCACCCTTTTGTTCTGTTTCTGTGTATTGTGCTAAGCGGGAAAGCAAATTGGTTTGGTGTGGTGGTTTTATGTACTAGGGAGTGGTGTGTTCAGGGCTGCTGTTCTACATACAGGGGATAGTAATGAGAGAAAGGGGTCCAGTGTTTGTGACCGCATTCAATCCCTTGTGTATGGTTCTGGTGGCCATTATGAGCTCCGTCTTCTTGGATGAGGAAATGTTCCTTGGAAGGTTTAATTTCGACTCTCTCTCGGTCTTACTGAATTCTGTAAACTCCATGATTATGAAGCTGAGATGTGTTTTGGCCTGATGTAGGGTGGTTGGGGCAGCAATCATAGTGGCGGGGCTTTACCTCGTGGTGTGGGGGAAGAGTGTGGACTATGATAATTCTTCTGCTACTTCACAAGAAAACCAGCCTCTGCTGGAGGAAAGGGTCTAGGGACTGCTTAGGAAAAGAACCAGGCTACCAGTACAACGATGGTTAGAAGCATATGGAGCGCGCAAACCATAGAGACGAAAAGATAGAAAAGGGTTTACAAGTATGGCAATCGGATTAACTCAATGTGGCGGCTTGAATGGGAGATTTTCCAACACTCCTTACGTGCTTCAGTTGAGAGACAGAAAGCGTACCCAAAGCTGGTTGGTTGATGAAAATTATTATATATATTATTTAATAAGCTGTTTGTGGTTCGTCTATATGTGATTCGGGAAAATCTATCCGAGTCAATCTCTGGACAATCATATATGAAATTCTTGATATAGTGTAAACATGTTTTTAAGATATAGATGGTAGTTGATTCTTTTAGATGCGTTATTTTGCTCATCTATAATTGATACACTTGATTACTCATGCAATATATTGCTAAATATTTGTTGCATGCATAACAAATTTATTGGGTTAATTGTATGACTGGTCACTGAGATTACAAAAAACGTTCAAGTTTGATCACTCAAAATATTTAAATCCATTGCTGGTACTTCAGTTTACTGAACCCGTTCACGTTTGGTCACTCTTCGTCCAACTCCATTAACTTTGTCTGATGTGGCAGTCAACTCTCAAAGTTGACCGTTAACTTAGTGACGTAGCAATTAAGAAATAATAAATAAAATACAATTTAATCTATTTTAATGTCCAACTCATTTTACCATAAAATAAATAAATTAAATTAAAAGTTATTATAATTATCAAATTGAAAGAGGTGCTCTGAAACCTCACCATCTCCTGATGCTTGCCGCACGTGATCGGCGGCGTTGTAGGACTCAGCGACGCCGAACGAGAGGCACTCGTAATGCTGCCCGGTTTTGTCTTGTTGAACGACCGGGTTTTTGTCACTGGGAAATCCAATAATATATATTATCTATGGCTTCTCTGTTTGGGTTTCATTTTGTCAGTAACCAATGAACACCCGGACTCTATAATCATCTTATCAGAGAATGTTTCTTCCAAACGCAAGAAACGACTAACAAGCGATACAAACGAGGGCGAAGATGAGTGCCCAGAAGAGGAAGAAACAGAAGGAAACAAATCGAGTGGTGAGATGTTGAAGCAACCACTGTCACAGAGGCAGAGCGCAATTGTTGGACAAAGGAATTGGCAATGGCGATGGAGTTACAGGATAATAACGGAGAAGGTTCAAGTTATTCCTCACCACAATTGTTGGACAAAGGAATTGGCGATGGCATTAGCTCGAAAACTCTGGGAGGTTTCAGAACATTACTGTTCATCTTTGGTCAGACTGACTTCCACTTTTCACTTCCCTCTCATTTTTTGCTATGGAATTCTCTAGGTTGGTTTTTTTAAAGTTTCTATCTTTGCCCATAACGTAGTAACTGAAATTGGGGAGCGATTCTCCTACATCGACTTCCATTCCAACTTGATCACTTACCTGACTCAGCAGCTCAACCTGCCGCTTGTCTCCGCTTTCAAAATCATCACCAATTTCAACGGCAGTAAAAACTTCACCCCCTTGATCGGAGCTCTGATCGCCGACTCTTTCTCCGAGAATTTCAGGACACTCATCATCGGCATCCTCATCTTCCAGCTAGTTATCAAAATCCTTCCTCTCCAGCTGAATCTATAAGACTATAACAGTACTATCACAACCTAGTTTACTAAGTTAACGGTCAACTTTGAGAGTTGACTGCCACATCAGCCAAAGTTAACGGAGTTGGACGGAGAGTAACCAAACGTGAACGATTTCAGTAAACTGAAGTACCACCAATGAATTTAAATATTTCGAGTGGCCAAACTTGAGCGTTGTTTGTAATCTCAGTGACCAACCATGCAATTAACCCTAAATTTATTATAAGAATTGGAAATCACAATGAAACATCGAAGTTTGGTTATTGAAAACCAGGTTAGCGAATACGAAGAGAGAAACTTTACTTGGTCATGGAAGATTGTTAGATCTTGATTTGGAGCAAATCAACAGGGCCAAGAATTGCAAAATTCAAAGTAAGTGTAGAAATATAAATGATACAAGATATTTGTTAACTAGGTATGGACATGGTGCAATATGTGTTACTTCCCTGCTAGCATGAGGTTTCCTTTGAGATCTATGTTCTAATTTGATCTTATTTTAATCAAGGTGATTCTCTTTGGGTGACAAGTAAACCCTTAACAATGATGCAGTATCTAAACTTTCAAACCTCTACCCTACCTTGAACTCACTCTACTCAAGTTTAGAAGAGATAACAAGAACCAAATTTTCAATCAATACCAGCCAAAGCTCCCCACTCTCAAATTCTCTCAACAATTTTCTTCTTCTTCTTCTTCTTCTAATCTAGCAGTCTTCAAATCCCTTCCGTACGTTAATGATGGCTTATTTACTGAAATACAAATGCTAAACAAGAAAATTACATATTCACGTTTGATCTCATTTCACAAATCTTGCTTTTATTTTTAGGCCGAGGAATGAAAACTTCTCAACACAAGTGTCATCACTAGCGTTTAGTGAGTTACATGATTTTGAGTAGTTCTTTGCTTGGTAATAAGGAAAAACGAAATTGTAAGATAATTTGGTGACACTTGAAATTTGTGTTTGTAATTTCTTAGCAATATTACTTCTATTTCGATGCATCTTTAGTCATTTTGTCATGAGATTTATATTCAATTCACTCATAATCACTCATGCATTTTTATAACTTCAGGGAGTATTTGTATACTCTTAATGTCTTTTAATGTAGTTTTACATTGTTTTTAGGAGTAGACATTATAGAGAACGAGGTTACTAGAATACGAAACCGAATGAGAGCATAATTTGATGCCAGACAAGCAGCAATCATGGATTTACAATGAGTGTGCCTTACGGGCTATGGCGGGACAAGAGAACATTGTGATAGGTCTGGACCAGAGTGCAGAAAAGAAGCCCAAAGACTAGATCCAAAGAATGTAATTGATGAGCATTAGTTCCATACCAAAATCCAAGTCAAGGTTACATAACAACAAAGATAATGGAAAAGCACAAAAAAAATATTATTTTACGAAACATGGCATTTATTTCTTTAATTTTTTATTTATCGAAGCAAAATTACTTAGTTTTGGTCATTAATAAAATATTTATATCATGGCAATCACACGAAATAATTCGATCTATGGACAACATCGTTGTGGTAAAGGCCGTAATGCCAGACAGAACCCCAAATAAGAAAGTAAGTAAAGTATTCAAGGCTCTTTTTTTTGTGGTGTGGGGGGGGGGGGGGGGGGGGGGGGGGGGCGTATACAAAGGGTAAATAAGTGTTTATGATATGGTAATCACAAACATAGAAATTGTTGGGGGAAAGAACACAAAGAGCGTGTGAATCGCACAGCGCCACGCTTAGCCATCCCCTCGTGCGGCCACAACCGCGTTTTACTCGTCCAGTCACACGTTTGCTGCCGCCGGAAGATAAGCCGCCCAAGCTATAAGTGCACAAATATCGCCTGAGGGGTCAGCGAATCTGCTCTGACACTCTCATCTTGTCACCACGTTTCGCTCACCAACCCAAGGGAGCTATAAATACAACATTTACTCCACCTAGGAAGGGGGATCGATTGGAGAACATTCTCTCTCTACAACACTTAAACTTTATCCTCTCTGGAAATGCTCTGACTTCTCTCTTATGTAACCCTCTTCATTGATCCATTCTCCTTATCAAATAAATAATGTGTTCCCATTCTTTACTCGTGCAAGCCTCCTACCCCACTGGCCTTGCACAAACAATTGGTGCACACCGTGGGGCAAATGACAAAAGATTCGATGAGGAAGGAGCGACAATCCGCACCTTCAAACTTCGCAGCAGAGGAGACGACACCGCTCAAAGTAACCATAAGTCAGAGCCTCTTCGACACGTCTACAAACACAGAGGCAATAAGACTATTTCACTCGACTGACAACTAGGACACCTTACTAATCGAGGAAGAAGAATTATAATTGTCCGCGAATGAAATTCGTCAACAGATGGAGCGACAGAATAAAGTCATCGCTGATATGCAAGGGAAGATGAGCCAGATAATCGCGCTCATGAACGCTCAGACGAACGCAACGCCAGCTGCGTAGAGACAAGATGCGACTCCAGCCAAAGATCCCAAAACAGAGGTCATGCCCCCTCCCGTCCGAGCGGCTCGGATGGCAAGGCAAGATCTGGATTACCTAGAGCATCACTTATCACCAGCCTACAAAGCCCCCCCCCCCCAAAAAAAATCATCCTCCACCAACCTCTGTGCGTGGAATCATGGCAAAACTAATGGCGGGAAACCCCCAACGCTACCTACCTACAACGACACGACATATCCGGAAGACCACATTAGTGTGTTCTCTCAACTCATGCAACTCCAGACGTGTTCTAATGCAGCCTTATATCGCACCTTTCCATCCACGTTCGCAGACATTTGCTTTGATTGGTACAATTGTCTGCCTAACACGATCATTCAGACGTTCGAGGAGTTCATCCGCCTTTTCACAACCAAGTTTTCTTCCCAAAAATGGAGATCACTACACACAGTGTCACTTGTTGACATCAGACAAAAGGAAAATGAGAGTCTAAGAGTGTTCTACTCTAGGTGGTCCCGCGTTGCCATGGCAATCCACCACCTCACCCCCGAAACTGTCGCGCGTAACCTTATGGATTCCACAAACAACGCCGAATTAAGACGATCATTGGCAAAACACCATGTGTTGTCTTCCTCTAAGCTAGAAGCCAAGGTGGAGTAGGCAAATCACTCTGGAAGAAACCTTGGGAGCATGTTCCGTCCGCCGTTTCGAACCCAAGAACACGAGGGAGGAACAAACGCGGCGCCAAAACCCTACTCCCCCTAGCCACATACCACAGCGGAATCAGGAAACCTCACATGGTTGTCGCGACCGATCAACAACGAAGTCGTTCCCAGGAGAGGAATAAAAATGAAAAAAAATTCACACCGCTGAATGACACGGTGCGAAACATATTCCACGTTGTCAGGGTAAAGGGATACCGCATAAACTGGTCACGACCCCAATGGTAACTAAAGAACAGATGTGACCACCGCAGATACTGCAAGTTCCACTATGAGACTGGCCATCTCACTGAATATTGCTATAACCTCAAGGAGGAAATTGAATCACTCATAGGGCGGGGCCACCTCACAGACTTCGTGCAGAAGAGCGATCATGCACTTCCCCAAAAGCCGCCACTCCCCCCGCAGATAGGGTACAATGAGGAAACCGGTGAACTTGTAGTGCGAAAGGAGATTGGGGTAGTTTCAGCCGAAGGAATCAGGCCATGCAAAAAAATTAAAAAAGGCAAAGGGAGGTCGAGTGTGTCGCGGTACCGACAACCCCATCAATGCCTCTCTACTTCGGCAACGATGAATACCCTAAAGTAGGACCGTCTGAAGCTCCGATGCTTAAATCCGCTAATAGCGGCGTGCAAGGTACACTGCTTGCTTATAGATGGGGGAAGCATAGCGGATATCCTTTTCAAAAACACCCTCAACCTTATGGATATCGATCCGCAGATGATGCGCCAAGCGGAAGGAAATCTGGTGGACTTTACAGGATTGCGAGTTCCAGTGATCCCATCACCCTCCCACTTGTTTTAGGTGACCAATCGCCTCACGCGACAGAATAAGTTGAATTCACCATAGTGGATTGTCAATCGCCGCACAATGCAATCTTGGGGTGACCGTTACTCGCAAAATTCAGGGCGTTGTCATCCAGATGCCATCAGCTCATTAAACACCAAGAACCCACGACCGAGAGAAGAACCAACATTGTGGACACACGAGTGGAAGAGGAACCGCGGCCAACCCCCGCGGAATCAGGCATCAGGATACCCCTGGATCCCACCCAGCCAGACCAACAAATCCGCATATCGACTCACGTTCCTGATGACATGATGCAACCACTCATACAGTTGTTGGTGGAATACAAGGAGCTCTTTGCTTTGGGCACACAAGACATGCCAGAAGTTAAAAGGGCAGAGCACAAACTCACGGTACCCAGAAATGTGGGAGCAATACAATAGGGTCGACGCACTTTCATTGGGGAAAAATTGAAGGCTGTTAAGGATGAAGTAACGCAGTTATTAGAGGGACGTTTAATCAGGCCAATCCAGTATCCCAAATGGCTCTCTAATGCGGTCTTGGTGAAAAAGGAGTCATGAGCATGGCAAATGTGCGTAGACTATACAACGCTCAACAAGGTCTGCTCGAGCAATCCGTACCCACTTTCGCGGATAGATTTGCTGGTAGATGCGACATCGAACCATGACATCTCTCATTCATAGATATGTTTTTAGGATATCACCAAATCCCCATGAACCACGAGGATGAAGAGAAAATTTCCTTCATGACTCCGTTTGGGAACTTCTGCTTCGTCGGGATGTCATTCAGTCTGAAGAACGCAGGCGCCACTTATCAATGCCTCATCAACACAGTGTTCGAAAATCAAATTGGCCGCAATATTGAGGCATATGTTGACAATCTTATTGTCAAGTACAAGCACGAAATCTCTCACATGGATGACTTACGCGAAACCTTTGCAACCCTCCACGCACATAACTTACGCCTCAACCCACTTAAGTGCATGTTCGGAGCAGAAGCGGGAAAGTTCATCGGCTACAT